TTTGGCAGACATGGGTGCGGGTGACCTCACTTAACTGGTTGCACTAAATGGTGGCTTCTTGCAGGGAAAGGCAGCCCAGTCTGAAAAATGGTGTCGAGTGGGGTCAAAGTGTTGAAGGCAATGATTTTGAGAAAGTAGTAAAACACCAATGAAACTAGTGAAAGAGCACGCCAAGGAGCAGTTTGTGGAGGAGTTCCTGAAGATCTCTTCAGGCTATTTAAAATTTATGTGGTGTTGTTTTATTGTGTTGTCATTCTGAAAAATGAGAGTGGCTTCAAATTACTGTGCCAAGGCCTAAATTATAGAAGTCCTTAAGTTTGTCTATGATACTGTACACATGTTTGTTTGCCGAGAAGTTCAGTTTAACCTAAAGAGTCACTATGAAGCCGGCTCAGGGACGGGATGGGTAGCGTATGGGACAGGATGAGCAAAGCCTAGATGAGGCCTTAAGCTACGTTCACCCCTTTTGGAAGCGTCCACTAGCGTTCCAAGCGCTCGGTAGCGTCAGCGATTAGGATAGTATCGGTATCAGTCTGGCGTCTGCCACCGTTTCAGCATCCACTAGTGCCTGCCAACGTAGGGAGGGCCAAGGATGCGTAGGTATCGATCTAGCGGCGTCTTCCAGCGTCTATCAGCGTGCACCAGCGTTCACCTGCAACCGGGAGTAGAGAGTATGGGGAAGTATGAGGGTAGCAAGTGCTGAATTAGGCGTCGTGAAATCGCGGCGTGTGCAACCGCATCGCACAACTGCTAAAGCACAAAATTATGCAATTTTATGCAGTTTAGTGCACTTGTACGGTGCGCACACATCGCAATTTCGCGACGCCTGGTCCAGCTGTTTGCTACCCTCCGACTTTCCCACACTCTCTACTTCCGGTCGCTAGTGAACGCTGGTAGACGCTAGTAGACGGTCGCAGACGCTAGATCGATATCGATACGTCCCCATTCAGGGACGCTGCCGGACGCTCTGAATGCTAGTGGACGCTGGTGGACACTGTCACAATGCATGAACGCAGAATAAGACCCGTTCAAGGTAAACGGAGCTTCTCTGGAAGTCAGCGCTGTCAAGGACGAAAGTTCATTACTTGCAGAACAGCTCAGAGACCGGGAAAAGTTGACAGTGGTCATTAACAAGATTACGGATAAAAGGAAGGTAGCACATCTGTGTTGGATGGGGAATTACTACAGAAATTTGTAATTCATCTTTCGTTCTTCGTTTCTCTGTGCTTGTTTTGGAATAAAGTAGCAGTGTTCTGCGTGATCAGGCAGCATAAAACATCAATGTCTGCAGAGCGGTTGAAAAGTTGCTATTTCGTCACCACACGACAGTCTTGCTATTTTTATGACGCCCAAGAACACGCCCTGAGTTCCTTTTATTCTCCAACCGACAGCCATCGATTCCCATCTGTCCGTCTCCATGAACGACGTTTCACCGATCCTCCACCTCCACGTGAGCTCACCCAGTTGACTGCGAATGCCAGGGCTGTGAAGTGTGTATCGTTGCACGCTTAAAACTGCAGTAATCAAAATGGAACCGAAAATCAACCGAAACCAAATACTTAGCAGAGGCCGAGCAAACTTGTCCTGCCTTTTTGTGGGAGACATGTACAATTTCGGAGAAAATCAAAAGGCATATGACCAGGTATGCGAGTCGTCAAGAAGATTTTTTTACCGTGACTTATACTTCACGTCGCAGGTCACACATGTTGGGTTCACCAGTGGGGGTGGAGACTCGCAATGAGAGGGCAGCCGGCGCAGAACAGCGCAGAGCTGTCAGTAAGCAAGGTCTTGGCTTGCAAAACTTAATTCATAGTACATGGTTGGGTTGGAAAAACACCACAAAAAGTCAAAATGATTAACTCTTAGTATTAATAAGTTCTGGAAAAGATCAAAGCTGATATCGTCGGTGTCTGCGAGACAAGGAAGAGCAAAGAAGTCTCGGCAAAGTGGACGAGTGGCGAAGAAGTTCTTTTGGGAAAAGGCGCCGACAACGTGTCAAGAACTGGTGGAGTCGGTTTCATCGTAAAACCGAAGATGGTTCCGCACATCATTTCCTGCGATTTTTTGTCCCCACGTGTTGCTGTTTTGAAAATCATGATACAGCGGATGGGGAAACGAACGCTCAAAATCGTTCAGGGTGTATGCACCTACAGCGGCAGCGGAAGATGAAGAAGTCGAACGTTGCTATGAGGAAATAGAAGCGGCGTTGAAGATTAAATCGACATACACCATTGTCCAAGGAGACTTCAATGCAGTTGTTGGCGCACGATTGGGTATGGAAAACCTTGTCGGCAAATACGGCACAGGCGTACGGACCGACAGAGGAAGACGCCTGGTCGAATTCGCGGAGCAACACCATTTCTCAATCATGAACACATTTTTCGAGAAGAAACCAAAGCGTCTGTGGACGTGGAGAAGCCCAGATACGAAGATTGTGAGACAAATCGACTATGTAATGACAGATACGCCGAGAATGTTTGCTGACGTTTCGGTTATAGGTGAAAGTGTGGTCGCAACTGGCTCCGACCATCGTCTAGTGCGTTCGACTATACTTATAGATCGAAGAAAAGAAAAACGAGTTCTGTACTCACAAAGAGCACTCATACGCTACGCTTTCAATGCCGATTTATTCACTGACTTAGTAGCACTGTCAGACCTGCGGATGGACACTGAGAGAAGCATCGACGCTGGCTACGACGAACTAGTAGAAAAAATAGTTCTTGCTGTTAAAGCTTCCAGCACTGCAGCAGAACGTGGCAGAAGACAACGTGTGTCAGCGGAAGCAATCCAGATGATGCAGAAGAGAGCAGGTATGAAGGCCGAAGGAAGGGTCCAGAGCGATGAATATAAGACTCTCAGCAAAACGATAAGGGAGAGGATAAAAGAAGACTATGAGGGATATAGGCAAAAGAAGCTTCGTGAAGCGGCGGAAAAGAGGGCAAGCCTGAAAACAGTGGAAAGGGATGTCCGTCTCAGGCAACAAATTCCCTCCGTTCTCAAGGATAACCTAGGTGTTCGCACGACGAATCGAAAGCGGATGAATGAAATCTGTACGAAGTTCTTCAACGATTTGTACTCCTCAAAGGTGTTTGTCACAAAAGTCCGCTCAACTGCTGTCAGAGAACCGGTCCCATTCGACCTGAACACCTAAAAGCAGGCGGAATAACCCTATTCAAAGCACTGGCGGAACGTTTCACCAGATATTTCATCGAAAGAAAAGTTCCAGCGGCGTGGAAGAGATCGAAGACGATACTGCTGATGAAGAAAGGAGATCCTGAAAGTCAGAACAACTACAGGCCCATCACACTTTTGTCACAAATATGTAAAGCCTTCACGAGAATAATCTTGAACTGTATCGTCAAGGACCTAGACATGGCTACGAGTAGAGAACAGGCCGGCTTCCGGAGCGGTTATTCCACAATGGACCATTTACATGTTGTACGCCAGCTTACGGAAAAATGTGGAGAGTTCCAAATTCCCCTATGCTTGGCGTTTGTCGATTACAAGAAAGCCTTTGATTCGGTTGAAGCGAACGCAGTATTCAATGCGTTGAACAGATTTGGAATCAATATAAACTACGTCGACCTCCTGGAAGAGATGAACGATGGCTGCAGTACAGAAATCAAGCTCTTCAACGACCCCTGTCATATAAAGATCTGCAAGGGAGTACGTCAAGGAGACACGATTTCGCCGAAGCTCTTTGCAATAACACTGGAGGCCCTCTTCGGAAGTTTGAATTGGAGCGGCGGCATCGAAATCGACGGCGAAAATCTCACGCATTTGCTTTTTGCGGACGATTGCGTCATTTTTGCACAAGACGCAATAGAGCTTCAGGACAAGCTGGTTTAACTTTTAAATGAAAGGAGATTGGACTCGAGATGAACCTCTCCAAAACGAAATGGATGAGAAACCAGTTCAGTCCTATGGCGGAGATTACAGTCGAAGGCGAGAAAATAGAAGACCAGAATTACGTCTACTTAGGGTACCAGCTCAGCTTTACAGAGGGCGCTGGAGGAGAATTTAGCAGGCGCAGGAAAGCAGCATGGACTAGCTTTAACAAAATCTCGACGACACTGCTAGACGAAAGCCTTGCGATGGAAATAAAAGCGTCACTATTTCACTCCACAGTTGTACCCGCATTACTGTACGGCGCTTAGTGCTGGTCAACCCAGACGAAGAGAAATTCGCGGTCACGCAACGGTCAATGGAACGCAGAATTTGCAAAATATCATTGCGTGATCGTATCTCGAACACGGGAGTTCGAAGGCGAAGTGGCTTTGTTGATATTGTCCAGGAATTGTATAAAAGAAAACGAGAATGGGCCGGCCATGTGGCGCGTCTGAGAGATAACAGATGGACTCCCGACTCACTGATTGGATCCCCTTGGATCGCAAACGACCGCTGGGAAGTCCTAAAACGAGATGGGCCGATCCAATGGTGAAAATGTTCGGCCAACAGTGGAAAAGACGCGCACAAGACCGGAATGAATGGATCAAAGTCGACTTGCGTGGATGGCGTAACACACGAGGACCAAGTCGGATACAGGCTGATACACGGTGACAGTGACCCAGAGCAGGTGAGTGGGCACATTTTCCTGTACATATACCAGCAGATATGAGTGGGGATGAAAGAAAACGGGACCAGTGTCTGAGAAAACCCATACACCGGTCCCGTTTTGTTATCGGTGAGCCTGTGCGACAATCTGTCAGGTTGACTTGGTTGGTTTCCTTATCGAATTGCTTAGCTTGTCAACGCTTATGATGGATTTGTCACTTTTGCAAGACTAGCTGTGGAAAACAGTGATAGTGTTGTAGTTGTGTTACGAATAAAGGAAACTGCTTCAATGTTTGTCTTTCTGTAAAAGTTATGAGCATGACTTTTCCTTCCTTTGACTACATGTAGTCGATAAAACCACATTCACACACCGCGACTCAATTGATCCAATCGAGAGATTCTCACATCAAACGACCATACCAAGCACACAAGTAATCAACGTTTATTCATGACCTTTCTGTGTTTATGAAGCCTCCAACAAATGGCCTCTTGTCCACAATTCTTCCTGTTGAGGTTGCTGTTACTGCTGATAGAGATGTGTCGAATATGTCTCTGAAAATGGCACGAAGTACTCACTTGTGATAACATCAACAGTAAATCGACATCATTAGCATTATTAGTTCAGTTATTTTCTAGGCTTGGAGAGGATCTCATTACATGGAGACATGGTATGGGAATCCAGTCGCGGACCTCTCCCCCTACAAGAACGATTGAACATAGCCCTGTAAATCGGCAGCCCCCACAAAACATATAATAGTGTATTCCGCCTTCAAGAAGCCACCAGAAATTCTGGGAAGGACAACAATGCACAACCGAAAAGAAGTGATCAACGCCGTAAGCTCAGTGCCCTTGTATTTCCACCACAAGCTAACAGCGAAAAGCTCGTAAGAGCTTTTCGGCGATGGGGGGAGGGTAGGGTGCATTTTGCACATTTGTTGAGAATATTTACCCTTTACTGCCCCAATCACTCAAAATCCGGCCAGTTCTTGACCGAATTTTTTCTCCATGAGCGGAATTGTCTTAAAATTTGTCTCCTGGGGTAATCCGACCTCCTGAATATGAATATCACATCCGCTCGGCACGAAACCTTAGGGTGCCCCCGCCACAGGCGCCGGCACCAAAAAATCCCAGAACACCAAATTCGCTGAAAACTTGCCGCCAGGTGGATTTGACTTCCTAAACAAGAATATCACATCCGCTTGGCACGCAACCTCTTGGCGCTCGCGCCACAGACGTCGGCGCCAAGATACCAAATCACCGGCGCCTGTGGCACGGGCGCCAGAAGCTTTCGAGTCAAATATAATAGATGTGATATTCATATTCAGAAGGTCGAACTATCTCAGGGGACAAGAGTTGAGCTAAATCTGTCCACGGAGAAAAAAGTCGGGTGAAAACTAGCCCGATTCCGAATGACGGGGCAGTAAAGGGTAAATAGTGCAGGTTTGAAACCGCGACTAGTGAACCAGCGAAAGCGTAAAATGAGAGCTCGTTTTCTGGGAGCATTTCCTATGATGTACCCTAGTGAGATGGATACTTTACTCAAACATCCACAAACCCTTTCATCGTAATACGAACCATGGGCACTATTAACCCTTTACTGCCCTAAACATCCAGAATTGAGCCAGTTTTTGACCGCCTTTTTTATCCGTGTGCGGATTCCGCTCAAATGTTGTTCCCTAGGGTAGTTTGACCCCCTGAATACGAATATCACATTCACTTAGCCCGAAACTTCCTGGTGCCCGCGCCACACGCGCCCGTGATTGGGGATATTTTGGCGCCAACGGAGGTTCGGGCCAAGCAAATGCAATATTCGTGTCCAGGAAACCAGACTACCCTTGAGAGCAAGTTTTCAGCGAATCTGGTGATTTGGGGTATTTTAGCGCCAGCGCCTGGCGCGGGCGCCAAGAGGTTTCGTGCCGATCGGGTGTAATATTCGTATTCAGGAGGTCAAAATACCCCAGTAAACCAATTTTCAGCCAATTCTGCCAACGCAGAAAAAGAGAGAAAGAAAGAAGTCGGTCAAAAACTGGCCTGTTTTTGGAAGATTGGGGCAGTAAAGGGTAAATAGTGCCGAACCATATTACAGCAAGCTGAATATGACCTTACGAAGGAGTTGAATACAGCCCTTTCACTGAGGATTCCTCAATCACTCAGTGCCATGGGTCCAGAGCGCTTTTCCAATCATGGAATTCTTAAGTCTGTTTTCATAATGTTTGGTCTCACCTATTCACATTCACTCCACACACTGGCACCTGCTGGCCAAACTGTTTTACTCCGGCAGCCGACCACTTTGCAAAACTGTGAAAGTCGCTAAAGTCATCCGTTGCTTCGCCATACGGGCCTGTGCCAAGGACATTCCAGTACCTGAAAGACGACTTGGTTTTTTTTTGTGACACTCACACGATGGTGAGACGACTCATTTCTCTAACCACAAAAGTGAACTGTTGGCTCCTGTCCAATTATTTGTGATTTGCTGCCAATCGTACCAGTTGGTGTAAATTCCAATAGTAACATCATTTAGCTGGAAATAAGTCCTGTTGGGGTGTGCACCTCCTTTTTTACTGAATAGTAAGGTTGAGAAACTCATGAGTCACTTAGAGAGAGCTACATGAAAAACAACTTTGTATCCACTCCACAGCATTTTTTAGCAAACGCTAGTTAGATGGAAGTAATACTATTAGGTTGTTCGGAAAGGAATGCGCGTTTGAGTGTAAAAAAAATTTTTATTATAAAAACGAAATTAAACAAGGTCAATCTAAAAGATAATCTCCATTACTAGCAATGACTTGTTGCCAACTGTACGCAAAAACTTCGCCAAAAGAGCCTCTTTCACTACTTTTCCTCGGGTTCGTTAGGTCCGCCGGAGAGGAAATGTAGGTCAAAAGAGCCTCTTTTTGCCTGTTTTCTCGCCGAGTGTGTCGCTAGGTCTGCCCGCTGCCAGTGAGCCGAGTGGGTCATTAGGTCCACCCAAGTGCGTCGTTAGGACTTGCTTGAAGTCTTAAAACATACAAGCTCGCATTCGAAATTTTTTGTCGAGCATTTTCTAAACTTTTTTTTTCTCTAAAAAAAACAAGGTAGACATAGAAAAAATATATCAAAGATGCGCAATAGAAACCTCTCTCTAATGGACAAAACTGTTTTGAAAAATCTCCTATAGTAGAAGAGAAATAAATAGACAAAGTCAACGCGCATTCCTTTCCGAACAACCTAATAAATTACAGTGAATATTTTAGATTATGGGAAGAGCACTTGTCATATATGTATAGGGAGTTGGTGTACTGGCTAAGAGGGCTGCAGTCACCAGTTTACATCTTGGTATTGGCGTACACTTCTCAAACTGGTAGGGAGAAGAGGGGGAGGGGAGCTTTTCAGAGCCATAGAGAATCCTTGCTGCTGTTGAATTCTCTGTATATATTTTCCTTTCCAATCGGCCATCTTCCAAATCAAAATGGGATACATTTTTCACATCGGACAGTTAGTTAACCAGATTATAGTAGACACTACTGCAAGCCCTGCCCCGACAACCACACCCGCTTTTCAGCGGGGTCATAGTCTTAAGTTTGTTTCTATTTTCTATGACTTTATTGCGCTTTTGTTATTTCATGTACACACACAAAAACAGGCATTGTTTGGCATCTGCTGACTTGTGGTATTTCACGAAAGTGTGCGGAGCTTCGATAATAGGCGGCGCTACCCGTAATAGACCAGAAATGTGGAAATATTAGGTTTCTTGTGGTATTTCACGAAAAAGTGTGGAGCTTCGATAATAGGCGGCGCTACCCGTAATAGACCAGAAATGTGGAAATATTAGGCTGTCCGGAAAGTTCTCAGCGTTTTGAGTGTTTCACTTTAAACAATCATAACTTTCTTAATACTCATCGGATTTAATCGAAACAAGCATCGTTGGAATCAGCACACTTTTGCCAATGTGATACCAGTTGACTAATCCTGTCAAAGAAAAAACTGGGTGGTCGAGAATCCAGAAATCCACGAAGGCTTTTTTTGCCTGGTCCTGATTCATGAAGTATTTTCCAGTAAGAAAGTTCTGAAAATGCTTGAAAAGGTGATAGTCGCTTAGTGAAAGGTCTGGAGAATATGGAGGGTGAGGTAGAACTTCAACCCCCAATTCGTTCAATTCATGGATAGTGATTTGTGAAACGTGTGGGAGGGCGTTGTCATGCAAAAGAATCGGACCCTTTCTGTTGACAAGTGCTGGCTGCAGCTGACGCAATTTTCGGTACATTTCGTCGATTTCTTCACAGCAGGACTCTGCTGGAATGGTTTGGCTTATTGAAAAAAGTTATAGTGGATCACACCAGCCGATGACCACCACCCTGTGACCATACAGCGTGAAAAAAAATTCTGACAATTTTTCGGAATACTTTGGAATCATAGAAAAACCATTAACTTAATCAGCGGAACTAAACTTTCGGAAATCTTCAGTAGCAATAACGGTGTACAGAGAAATCACAGCATTCAAAATGGCATCCTTTGACCATACATTTGCTCAGTCACTTTTCGAAGTGTAGAACAATGGTCGCGCATTCTTCTACTGTAATTTCGTCACAAGCACGCAGTAATGCTGCTTTCAAATAATCCACCGTCACGCACTGGATTCCTGAGATTTTCTGCTCCAAGATAGACTAAACGGAGTAATCCATCGGGTTCAATCAGGAGAGTTGGAAGGATAAATGTCCTCGCCCCAAAATCCCGAAAACAGCTCTTCGCAGGTATTGGGCAGACTGCAGTGGAGCCCAGTTTTGCTGAAGCAGAAATTCATCTGAACCAAAGTGCTGCGACGTCCATGGCTTCAGTACATCGCGAAGAACGCACTGTTGATAGTTAGCAGCACTGAATTGAAGGTTACGGTCGACGGAGACGAGTGGAGGTTTTCCGGTGACACAGATTCCAGCCCAGACCGTGACTGAGGCTGGAAAGTGCCTATGGCCAACGTGTTTTGCTGTCGTTGTCTTTTGCTGACCCTTCCTGAGTAGTACAGACAATTCTGGTAGTTGTGTACAGGCTCGATCGGGGAATTTTTCGTCGGTGAAGAGCACATTTTTCAAGCGACCAGCACCGACCAGACGACACATCCTGCGGGCTTCGATCTAGGAAGCAAAGGAGGCAATTCTGAGCACATGTTGTGATTTCTCTGTACACCGTCATCGCTACTGGTCTAATGAAGATTTCCGAAAGTTCAGGTTCGCTGGTTAAGCTTACGATACCAAAGTATTTCGAAAAATTGCCAGAACTTTTTGTTCACCCTGTAATCTATTTTTCGTGAGGATTAAGCTCTGGAAATTGCCTCGGTGGTTCGTCGGAGCCAACCACTGTCTGGAAGGTCTCCTGTTATCGTACATGATCCATTTTCATCACAGCTGACAATTCGGTCCAAAAACGGGTCGTTTCTATTGCGCAAAAAGAAACCTCGAGACGTGCCAATTTCCGCCGATCACTCGAATAGTGGGACACCCACTTGCCGAGTTTTTTAACCTTCCCAATGCGTTTCAGACCATCCGCAACAGTGGATTTGCCAACACCTAGCTTTTATGCAACCTCTCGAACTGTTTGGGATGGTTCAGCCTCCCAAACGCTTCCAAAACCTCGTCAGGTATTGCTTTAGGTCGACCGCTACGAGGCTGAAATCTCCAGAACGAAATTCGTCGAACCATTGTCGCACGGTGCTTTCTCCAACACCATGAGGCCTCCACACCTGGTTAATTTGTCGAGCTGTCTCGACTGCGGATTGACCCAATTTGTAGTTTAAGGAAAATATCGTCTGAGTTGCTTTTTTGACATGCTTCAAAAAGTCTTGGGAAAAGGTGGTTTGTCAAGCAAAGGTGAAATATACCATCAGATAGGGCGAAAAATTCTCTTCCAGATGTACTACTGAGACGCAAGGGAGAATGAATTTTTAATCAGCAATGAATGTTCAAAAAATAGTAACACAAAACGCTGAGAACTTTCCGGTTTCCTAATACAAAATATTCTGCAAAAGGATTGAAAAGTGGCGAGGCCAAAAGCAGTGATAAATGCACGTCTATCGGTACCTTCGCTGTGCTGAAAGTGGAAGTCATCAAATCCTTAATTCGCAACAAGTTTCCCAGAAAGTGGGCGGGGTCGCCTGTGTGTCAATGTCTCAACCCTTTTCAGAAAACGTGGGCATGAGAGTGTAAAAGAAGTCACAGAAGCGAGAGTTACAAAATAGAATTTGAAAAACCATTACTCCTCTGAAGCGTGGATCGTGGGGCGATGTGGGACTTGTGGTGGAGGAGGACGGAAATTGGAAAGCTGGGGTAGCGGTGGTGGTAGCAGCATCGAAATTCCACGCCTTTGGTTGGAGGCAGTGGATGCTTCGACTCGTGCATTTTCTATTTCCAACCCATTCCCATGCCTGGTACCGCTCCTCCCTTTTGTGTCAAGAAACATTCAGTGAGCTGAGAACCGACCGATGCTGGGACTGTTGCACGAGCCAAAGCACCCACTGCCTTCAACCAAAGGCGTCAAGACGACCCATGGAAGACTGTAAGGTGTCAGATTGTCAATTTTATCGTTTTATTGCTCCTCTCTATCTGTTCACTCGATAACCCTACCAGGGAAGTCCGCCGAATTACCATGGAACTTTGAACGGAGACCTTGGTAGTTCGATAGAGTCTATAAGGCTATTTGCAAATATAGATAGCAAAACTGCAATCTGCATTTCAAATGCAACTTATGAGCAGCTAAAATTTGTGATGGTGCAGTAGGGTGGAGGCTTGGTGGTAAGCTGTGAACGCTAGGTGATACATGGAATCGAGTCGTCGGCGACGGACCTTACCACTGGACCACCACGATCCATTCGACGTATGCGAGTCCTCGCTTCACGACTCACCACCGAGCTTCCACCGTACTGCAACATTGCAAACTTTACTTGCGCATAAGTTGCTTGTGAAATTCGGGTTGCAGTTTTGCTATCTGTGCTTGTAAATAACCTTTCAGACTCTATCGATCCACCCAGGTCTCCATTCCAGGGCACATCATTGTTGCGGATTCAACGGGGGGGGATGTCATGACCAATGGTCATGATGACTAGGATGCACGGGTCGCAAATGCACATTTTCTAGAAAGTTCGCTCATCGCCTGTAACCAACCAATAGGAGGCCTTGGCACTGCCCACCTCAGCCAGTATTTATACCGCCCATAATCGGGGCTATAAAGGTAGCGCGCCTGAGTGCCGCCAGGCAGTTCGGTCAGTTCCCTCATCGCAGTCAGTTCCTTTCTCTCCGCAGTTCTTCACAATTTCTCCTTGTAGCTTCGCTTCTTTCGCAGCCCCACACTTCCACAGCACTTCCCGAACACCACGAGCACACTGAAAGGACAACGAACACGATGTGCCAACACAAGAGACGAGACACAAGACACTGCGGACCCGCTATCGCCTGAAGAAGAACACAGGACACAACTTGACTCGCATTAGACACGAATATGCCAGTAGTTTAGCCTGTATGTTTATGCTTGTATAATGATTGTAGTCATGCTGTATGCGCTATGTATTACCAATAAACATGTAACCTACCACTTGAACCACCAAAACCTTATTTGAACCGT